TGGAAGTGGTTCCCAAAAACCTGGAGGATATACACAGTGAGACATGAGACCCAACATACCGAAGAAAGTAGATTTTGGGGTTTACACTTTAAATATTAAAGCCTCTCAAACTCTTCCATGTTATCCTTCCCACCAATAACATATTCATGGATCCATTGTCCAACCAACTAGATAATGATGGATCCATTGACCTACCAACAAAATAATGATGGATCCATTAGCCCACCAACTAGATAATGATGGATCCATTGGCCCACCAACTAGATAATGATGGATCCATTGGCCAACCAACTAGATAATGATGGATCCATTAGCCCACCAACTAGATAATGATGGATCCATTAGCCCACCAACTAGATAATGATGGATCCATTGGCCAACCAACTAGATAATGATGGATCCATTGGCCAACCAACAAAATAGTGATGGATCCATTAGCCCACCAACTAGATAATGATGGATCCATTGACCTACCAATAAGATAATGATGGATCCACTGACCTACCCATAAGATAAAGATGGATCCATTGACCCACCAATAAGATAATGATGGATCCATTGGCCAACCAACAAAATAATGATGGATCCATTGGCCAACCAACAAGATAATAATGGATCCATTGACCTACCCATAAGATAATGATGGATCCATTGGCCAACCAACTAGATAATGATGGATCCATTGACCTACCCATAAGATAATGATGGATACAATGACCCACCAATAAGATAATGATGGATCCATTGACCTACCTATGAGATAATGATGGATCCATTGACCTTCCAACTAGATAATGATGGATCCATTGACCTGCCAATAAGATAATGATGGATCCATTGGCCAACCAACTAGATAATGATGGATCCATTGGCCAACCAACTAGATAATGATGGATCCATTGACCCACCAATAAGATAATAATGGGTCCATTGACCTACCCATAAGATAATGATGGGTCCATTGACCTACCCATAAGATAATGATGGATCCATTGACCTACCCATAAGATAATGATGGATCCATTGGCCAACCAACTAGATAATGATGGATCCATTGACCTACCTATAAGATAATGATGGATCAATTGGCCCACCAACTAGATAATGATGGATCCATTGGCCAACCAACTAGATAATGATGGATCCATTGACCTACCCATAAGATAATGATGGATCCATTGACCCACCAATAAGATAATGATGGATCCATTGACCTACCCATAAGATAATGATGGATCCATTGACCCACCAATAAGATAATGATGGATCCATTGACCTGCCAATAAGATAATGATGGATCCATTGACCCACCAATAAGATAATGATGGATCCATTGACCTGCCAATAAGATAATGATGGATACATTGGCCTACCAATAAGACAATGATGGATCCTTTGACCCTCTATTAAGATAATGATGGATCCTTTGACCCTCTAATAAGATAATGATGGATCCTTTGACCCTCTAATAAGACAATGATGGATCCTTTGACCCTCTAATAAGATAATGATGGATCCTTTGACCCTCTAATAAGATAATGATAGATAATGATGGATCCATTGGCCAACCAACTAGATAATGATGGATCCATTGACCCACCAATAAGATAATAATGGGTCCATTGACCTACCCATAAGATAATGATGGGTCCATTGACCTACCCATAAGATAATGATGGATCCATTGACCTACCCATAAGATAATGATGGATCCATTGGCCAACCAACTAGATAATGATGGATCCATTGACCTACCTATAAGATAATGATGGATCCATTGGCCCACCAACTAGATAATGATGGATCCATTGGCCAACCAACTAGATAATGATGGATCCATTGACCTACCCATAAGATAATGATGGATCCATTGACCCACCAATAAGATAATGATGGATCCATTGACCTGCCAATAAGATAATGATGGATCCATTGACCCACCAATAAGATAATGATGGATCCATTGACCTGCCAATAAGATAATGATGGATACATTGGCCTACCAATAAGACAATGATGGATCCTTTGACCCTCTAATAAGATAATGATGGATCCTTTGACCCTCTAATAAGACAATGATGGATCCTTTGACCCTCTAATAAGATAATGATGGATCCTTTGACCCTCTAATAAGATAATGATGGATCCTTTGGTATTTGGTGGAAAGGAAAACATAGGAGGGTCCAAGGCCCTTGCAGCACTGACAGCTGGTACTACCGATGTCACAGTAATTATTCCCACCACTCAATAATGATTGTTCTTCTTTTATGTCACAGTGATATTCTCCGTAAAGGTCCTAGTCAATGTTCTCATCACTCAGGTCCTTCTTGGGTGGCACACTAGACCAGTAGACCCAATATTTCCACCCATACTTACATCTGGGGAGATCCAGGATACAGAATGCATAGTATACAGGGTCTCTTAGGCCCAGACTGTGGTTCCTTCACAAATAAGTAATTTCCCCTCCATGTCCCAGATACACCTTCTCATGGGGAGGACCAAGTTCTTTTGCAGGAGGCCGCCCTAAGTGATTAGCTAATGTTTAATGTTTGAGAGTTCGCTCGGGCTACTTACCGATCTCCCTGACTGGTGGGCACAGTTCCAAGCCCAAGAACCTCAGTCTGATAGATCTTCTAGGACAGCTGAACAAGGTCCACATCGTCCATCGACTTTTATCTGCTGGTGCCCCTTGGACTACTCCAATAAGAGTCACACGCAACATAGAATTCTTTTTATTTCTCGCCTTGGTGATCTAAGCATCTCCATACGACAAACATTGTAGAAGACTATATGCGTCCCGGAACTACGAGGTGTTACAAACGGTTCTACGTCTCTCTAGGAAACACATCCACCAATGGTGGCCATGAAGTCAACAGTGCGACCGCCTTCCTATTCCAACATCACAATCCTGTTAATTGGAAGAAAAAAAAACCCAAAACCAAATGTTATGGAAATAACCGATAGTCTGATTTCTCGGGTGTAGAAGACATCGGCCTAGTCAGCTACTGGCCACACACACAACAGATGGAACATGTCCATTGTATCTCCGGAGACTGGGCTCAATTGACTGTATTAAGGCTCAAAATTGGGTCATTGCCAAACATTTATCCAGTGCAGGACTGACCACAGAAGAGGACTATCATATGGTATGGTCATATCATATCTCCACTGAAGAGGAACATCAATGACAGGTCTTGCTTAGATTTCCCCCCAGGTCTCTGCAGATGTTAGATCATTTGATGGCCCATTATACCAACCACTGATATCCCCAAAATAGATCAGATCTCCACTGAACAGGACCATCAAAGGTAGGGCTTGCTTAGAAATGTCTCTAGGGCTCTACAGATGTTTGTCCACTTGATGGCCCTTTACATGGACCTCTGATATCCCCGAACTCTCCACCCTCTAATGAAATTGCCCCCTCTGAACCCCATCATTTGCTCAGTTTGAGAGAGACAGACTTGTGACCGGTTGACTTTAAGACCTCCATTTGTCAAAAACGTAGTAGCCAAAGGGCTGAAGAGGAACATCAGTGGAAGGTCTTGCTTAGATTTCGTCCCAGGGCTCTGTAGCTGTTTGATCATTTGATGGCCCATTATACCAACCTCTGATATCCCCAAAACAGATCAGATCTCCACTGAAGAGGACCATCAAAGGTAGGTCTTGCGTAGATACCCCCCCTCCAGGGCTCTGCAGATGTTAGATTATTTGATGGCCCCTCATACCAACTTCTGATATCCCCAAAACATATCAGATGTCCATCGAAAAGGACCATCAACGGTAGGTCTTGCTTAGATTTCCCCCCAGAGCTCTGCAGACATTAGATCATTTGATGGCCCTTCATACCAACCACTGATATCCCCAAAACATATTAGATCTACACTGAAGAGGAACATCAATGGTAGGTCTTGTGTAGCTGTCCCCCCAGGACTCTGAAGCTCTTTGCTCATTTGATGGCCCTTCATACAAACCACTGATATCCCCAAACAGGTCAGATCTCCACTGAACAGGACCATCTAAGGTGGGTCTTGCTTAGATTTCCCCCCATGGCTCTGCAGATGTTAGATCATTTGATGGCCCTTTTTACCGACCTCCGATATCTCCGAAAGATATCAGATCTCCACTGAGCATGACCATCTAAGGTAGGTCTTGCTTACATCACCCCC